CGTTCCCCATAGACCTAATGTTGCGGAATACTTCTCCCCTAAACCCTAAACCGTTCCCCATAGACCTAATGTTGCGGAATAGAGCTCCTGGGGGTCCGCAGGTGCCTTGCGACGCAGTTTTCAAGGAGGCTTCGGCTTTGGGATACTTTTGGAAAACGCGGGGGTGCCTAGATATGGGTCCTTGCAAAGAGGGCCCTACGATGCGATCTAGGGCTCTACCTTAGGGTCCCTTGCTTTCTGAAACGATACCATCTAGGGCTCTACCTTAGGGAAGAAAAAGAAGAACCTCCCATGTCGGGTTTGGAAGTTGAGGTTTCGGGACCTGGAAGTGCTGGAGAGCTTTGGTGTTAACCATAACACTCGAGGGCTTAGGCTTTGGAGTGCTGGGTTGCTTTTCGCCTAGGGAACGTGGCACAAGGCTTGGGACATTTAGCTGAGGTCGTAGCTGACAGTGATACGGTTGATGATATAAATCCTGCATTACCCATAATAAGGAATATACCGTAATTCCCATAGTTTAGGGTCCTTAAGGTAATGCAGGATTTAGATCATCAACAATAGGAAGCAACATTCCACTTTCCCGCGGCCATCTGGGTCGGGAGAAAGTCTCATGCGGTTGTAGGACATGCCGAAAGACCTAGGGGCCGAGCACCTTAGCCCAAAAAAGGTTAACCGTTTTAATTATAATGGGTTTACATAAGCCCCAAAAGGTTAAAGGTTACCTACTCAGCCCCTAAGAAGACGATGCGGTATGCGATAAGTCATTCCTGGCAGTGAGGTCCCTAGAATAACTTTGACATCTCGCATTGCATGGAATGTCGGAATTACCTGCGGCTCCCCACTGCCCCCAAGCCACCTGCAACACCAAACCCCCAAAGGCACGTGAGAAGCCCTTAGTCGGAACTGATGAAGTCCTAAAGCTCTACATGAGACATGCCCTCAATCCCTCAAAACGAAAGCCCAACAAACATCAAAACAAGACCCGAGCCCTAAACCCTAAACCCCATAAAAACGCTTAAAGGAACCCTTTAACAGAAGGCCACAGGCCTGTACATTGTGAAGCAGGTTCTTGTATGCCCACGGCGTGTCGGCGTTTACCACGACGACGTCGGCCTTCCTGGGCACTCGCACTCTGACACCATGGTTTCAGGTTCCTTGTTGAACCTCCTAAAGCACTTATAAGTCACTAATAGACTAAGGCCTTAAAAGTAAAGCAAGCCAGTACCCGCCTAAAGTCCGAATCTCAGCAAAGAATCTCTTCCTCTCCGCTTTTCAGGCGGATGCCCACAGCCTTGCCGCCCTCTACCAGAACCTGCAGCTCAGATACCAAAATAAATACGGCTTTCGTGGTCAGAATACAGTTGTTGGGGCCTTTGGTTCTTGGGTTTTGTGCTTTTGGGGGTTTTGAATTCTGGGGTCCTGGATTTTGGGGGTTTGCGTTTAGGGGTTGTGGGTTTGGGGATGTTGAGTTTTGGGGGTTGTGGCTTTTTGGGGTTTAGCGTTTGGGGCATGACCTAGGGTGCCGGGTCACAAGAAAGTTGGCTAACTAAAGCACAAGAAGTCATGGATTTCAAGCAGGCGGCTCTACCCATAGGCCCCTAAGTAGTTCCTGTTTGGGATTACCTTATAGGATTCTAAATATAAACCATGAAAAGGAACTACTTAGGGGCCTATGGGTACAAGAATCCCTGGGGTTTCGTTTGAAGTGTCGAGAGGCGTGGTAGGTCCGTTGCTGCCATGCCTCTTCCCTTCCATTGCAGTGTCAGTGCTCAGAGTTTAGGGTTTAGGGTGTAGGGGGCTTCTTGACGAAAGTACCTACATAGTAGAGTGCCATACCTAGCTACAAATACAAGCCTTCAACAAAACACCCTAAGGTTTAGGGTTTGGGGTTAATGAAACCCTGTCTCTGAACAGCGGCGTTTCAATCTGCACGATCTGCCACGGGCCTCGTCCACCTCCGCACCCGTCTTTATCTCCACACCGTGGCCCTCTGCGAGGGAGGCGAGCGTGTTCTTCACGCCCTGCCACCCTGCGGGTTAGGGTTTTAGGCTGAGGGAGGATGGATAGGGGTGTCAAGGGTTTAGGGTTTCTGCAAGATCATAAGCCCTGAATGTGAATGACCTTTTGGAAGGAGACACAGATGTCACGATGCAGGACAATCACAGAAATCTCTGCAAGCCTCAACCTTCAACGAAATCCCACTTCGGACATCTTCAAGCAAACAATAAATGAATCCTACAGCTACAAATCCTAACCCGAAATTCGAAGCCCGGGTTGCACACTTTCGAAGAAATTGGAATTTCGGTAAGTTCCGTACGTAGAATATCCCAGGGCACAAAAAAGTCCTAATCCTGAAAGCACAGAAACTGAAACCCCCAAAACCCGAACCCCAAAAATCTAAACCCTAAGTCCTAAAACCCTAAACCCGAAACCCGGGCCCAAGGATGGAGCCTCCCACGGGGTACCACACACCATCCGTGAGGTCCGTGCCCGCCAGCAAGCAGAGAGCCCCCGGGGAATTGTAGGGAGTCAAGCCAACCTCAGGAAGTTTAGGGTTTGGGGGCTTACGGTTCAGGGCAGGGTTCAGAGTTCAGGGTTTCGGGTTGAGGGTTTAGGGTTCAGGGTTTAGGGTCTACGCAGCCCTAGACAAACCTCTACAAAACGCCAGAAACCCGAAATTTTGGCCCTGGCCCCCCACCCCTCCCTGCCCTTCCCTCAGGAATCACATGCAGCGCAAGCAGCGTAGAGGGTCTGGAAGGTAAAGATTGCTCGCAGTCGGTCGTCCTTGAACCATGACTTCATCAAGTCATCGACAGAGAACAGCCTTAGCTTGCACATGCGACTGGCACCTGACGCACCCCAACCCTGACGAAACCTATGATGAGCATCTGAAGCTGTAAAAACCGAACGAGCTCGAGAACGATCACCTTGAACTGCACCCCAGATCCAGAACTCTTTGAGTTTTAAACCGACAGCTAACCACAATCCCAGATTGTGGGCGGCCCGACTGGCAAGAACCCAGCCCACCAACTGCCTATTTTGAGGTGTTTCGGTGATTCTCTTCTAAAACACTTCGTTCGGCCAGTTGTCCCGGGAGAGAACTGGAAAGCTGGCTCATCATCCTTCCGGCCATTACACCGGAGCTTCATACCGCGTGGTCTTTCTTCGAACCCTATAGTAAACCTCCTAACACCCGACAAAAACCCAGCAAAACCGCTCAAAAAGCGTGTCTCTTTATCTGCGGGTATTTTGGTCTCAGGGTTTGTGGCGAGGAAGGTTCCAATAGTTTCACGTACACCCTAAACCTTTAAGCCCTCAAACCAACGAACAGCACTGCAACCCTAGACCCTGCACACTCAACCCCAACCCCTCAGCGCTAACCCCTCAGCTCTTAGGAAGCCCTACACCATAAACCCCAAACCCTGAACCCTAGAAGCAGAGGAGCATGTTGATCAATGGAATGGAGAACCAGCCTCCATTCGGAGTAACTTGCTGTAGTACCCCGATTGCTTGAACTTGATGCTTCGGGCTTCGGGCTTTAGGTATGGCGGTTTATGGTTTCAGCTTGGTGGTTTGGAATCCAGGGTTTAGGGGTTAGGGGTTAGGGTTTAGTCTGTAAGGTTGGAGGGGGGGGGGTGTGAGGCTTTAGGAGAGCAGGGTCTAAAGCTTACGGATTACATTTCGGACTCAGCACAAAAACCCTTGCAGGAGCCGCTTCATTCCTTAAGCTATGGCTGGAAGGCCTGTATTACAAGCGGGCAGCGCTTTAAAGATCCACTCCCCAAGCCCCAACCCTAAGCCTGAAACACAGATTTAAGAAAGTGACCCCCGAACGACGACCCCTGCTAGAAGCCCCAAAAAGCACCCAAAATCCTTTACTTCCCTCACAAGACAAGACCTAAACTCTACATCCTCAACACTGCCCTAAACCTGAACCTTGGCTGAGACCACCCAAAGTTAATGCCTACTCCTTCTGACTTTGATCCACGCCAATCTCGATGCCAATGGAAACCCTAAACCCTAAACCCTAAAAACCCTAAACCCAAACCCTGAACCCTACAATAGACTTACAGTGCCAGACCCGGTGGTGGCCTTTCTCGATCATCTCCGGCAGCAAGCCTCGATGCGGGGGCTTCCCGAGGTCAGTTTGTTGTTGTCCGGGCCTTTTAGCCCGTTTTAAAGTTTAGAGCTTTAGGGGGTTTAGGCTTTAGGGCTTAGGGTTTAGAGCTTTAGGGGTGTATTTTGGGGTGCCGGCATTTTGGGTGTTAAGTTTGGGTTTGCAGGGTTTGGGAGGTGAGTAATTCCATGGATATGGATATATACAGGCTGGAATTAGACTAAGTAGTAGAGCAGGGCTCGAGGGCGTTGTTCTAGTATCGCAGAGTAAGAAACTTTAAGAAGTACCGTATATATAATAAGAAACCTTTAGAAGTATCGTATGTGGAGTAAGAAACCTTAAGGAGTACCTCTACTCATGTGCTTAGGTCCCTATGGTAGAGCTCCAAGGCTGGCAGGACATATTAACCCAAAGCTGGTCTGCCTTTTTAGGGTTTAGGGTTTAGGGGTTAGGGTTTAGGGTTTGCCGTAGAATGGCGTATAGGCGGAAGTATCTAGCGATAGTGTATTTTCGAGTGTATCGTGATTTGACGATTTGT